AACCTCGGTCTCCGGATTCTCCTCACGGGTGCGGCCTAGGCGCCGCTTCGGGGGCGGCGGGTTTTGGGGGCCTTCCCTACCCCCTCCTCAGCCGCCGAACCGGTTAGAAGGGCCCCTCACCGCACTGCTTTCGACGCCGACCGAGGGAGAGCGGAGGTTTCCGGCGCCCTCCCGCTCTTCTTTTCCTCCTTCGTCGTACCGAGGCTCGGCGCAGGCGCACTCCGACAGCCCTAAGCGGAGAGAGAGAGAGAACGCGTCGCGCGGGCAAGAGCGGCTCACGTTCCTTCCCTGACGCCGACGCCGCCTGTGGCCGCTCTAGCCGTTCCACTCTGTCAGGTTGGAGGACTGCGGCAAAGAGGGAACGGAACTGGCGACCGCGGCCAAAGAGGGTGAAGTCTCAGTGGTGCGCCGCCAAAACTTCCGGTTCCTGATTACGTGGGCCGGGGGGGGGGGGGGGTTTGCAAGTGTAGGGGATAGGCAGGCTGTCGTTTCAAAAGACTCAGGATCAACTATATTGGTATGATTTTAACCTTTATTGCAGGACAATTTTGCATACGTTTTTAAAATTCGTTCCTTTTTTTGCTTCTTAACACACACACACACGTTTTTAAATAGAAATATCTTTGCAAGAGTTTTCGAATATATTCGTGCAAGGATATCCCATGTGGGCATGCGTAGAGAGGCAGCAATGGCTAATCTCAGTAATATCTTCCTGCTATCCACAAAGGACAAAACAGGGTTAATCTGTCTGCATGCGCGCAAAAAGAACCAGCAGACAAAAGTCTAAACTTTTTTTTTTTTAAGTTAGAATGTATTTTTTAAGTCTCCTCTAGGGTCGCCAGCTCCGGGTTGTGAAATACCTGGAGATTTTGGGGGTGGGGCCTGGGGAGGGCGGCGTTTGGGGAGGGGAGGGCCTTCAATGCGGTGTAATGCCACAGGGAGGGGCTTCAGTGGAGTATAATGCCACAGAGTCCTCCCCCAAAGAGCAGCCGTTTTGTCCAGGGGGACTGATCTTATTTATTTATTTATTTTTCCAATTTATACCCCGCCCTCCCTGCTGAGGCAGGCTCAGGGCGGCTTACATGAAAGCAGGGGTCATTTCCTGCGGGAGCGCACAGGAGCGGAGCTCCGGCAGTAAGGAGCCCGGGGGGTGGGCACATGCAACAAGCCCCGCCCCCTGCTCCCAGCAGCCCTCAGTCGGGCCACAAGGAGCAAGAAGCAGGCAGGTAAGTTGCAGAGGGCCCCCCCCACCTGCCTTCAGGTACAAGTTCTCCCTCCTCTGTGAGGGCAGAACTGCGTGCTCTCCCCCCCATTGCTAGCAATCCAAAACAGTCCAGTGGAGCCTGAGCGGTGGGTGTTGCCTTCTGACACACGTCCGGTGATGTCAGGGGGTGTGGCGTATGCTAATGAGTCATCCTAATGAGCTCCTGCACCTCTTTTTCTATGAAATGACCCCTGCATGAAAGTAAATGCATGGATAACAATTAGAATACCACAAAAACATGTAAAAACAGTTCATTATAAAACAGTACCATAAAGTGCTAGCTGTGTTGTTTTAATTTCAGAGTGATGACATTGCCATATGAGTGCATTCAATGGATTATCTAGATGTTCAGCTCACTGATCGTTCCCAGATCTGGGCCTATAGGCAGCAACAAGAAAAAACCAGTGGCAGAATCTCAGTCTCCTGGAAGTCAATTGAAATAGCCGGAGATCTCCAGGTGCCACCTGGAGGTTGGTAACCCTAGTCTCCTCAGTGGGGTATAATGCTACAAAGTCCACCTTCCAAAGCAGCTGTTTTCTCCAGAGGAGCTGATCTCTATCATATGGAGACATAATAGTGGGAGGTCTCCAGGTGCCACCTGCAGTTTGGCAACCCTAGAGGAAAGAAGGACATCTGTTGGAGCCTGATCAGTTGTAATTCTGGGGGGGTGGGTGTCTCCAGGCCCCACCTGGAGACTGGCAACCCTAGGAGAGCTCACCCTGCTTTAACCAATGAAAATGCTAATAGGACTAACGGGAGGCTGCAGGACCCCATGCCAAAGGCTAAATAGACACCGATCTGACATCAAGAATCACAAGACTGAGAAACCACCTGCTCTTTCGTGCTCTCCTAAACATGACTGAGGCATCTGAGTTGCCTCTCCTTCCATGCAACAGTGAGATGAAAGCGGTCGGGTTAGAACTGATAAAAGGAAGTCCTTCTTCACCCAAAGAGTCATTGACACATGGGATTCACTGCCACAGGAGGTGGTGGTGGCTACAAGCATGGACAGCTTCAGGAGGGAACTGGATAGGCATATGGAGCAGAGGTCCATCAGTTAGAACTCTCAGTCTGGGGCAAGTGATGCTCTGTATTCTTGGTGCTTGGGGGGGGGGCAACAGTGGGAGGGCGTCTAGTGTCCTGGCCCCACTGGTGGACCTCTTGATGGCCCCTGGTATTTTTGGCCACTGTGTGACAGAGTGTTGGACTGGATGGGCCTTTGGCCTGATCCACCATTGGCTTCTCTTATATTCTTAAGAGCATAGGTCCATCCGTGGCTATTAGCCACAAGGTCTAGATAGGAACTCTCAGTCTGGGGCTAGTGATGCTTTGTATTCTTGGTGCTGGGGGGGGGACAGTGGGAGGGCTTCTAGTGTCCTTGCCCCACTGGTGGATCTACTGACGGCCCCTGGTATTTTTGGTCACTGTGTGATAGAGTGTTGGACTGGATGTGCCATTGGCCTGACCCAACATTGGCTTCTCTTACATTCTTAAGAGCAGAGGTCCATCCGTGGCTATTGCCACAAGGTATAGGTAGGAACTCTCAGGCTGGGGCAAGTGATGCTCTGTCTTCTTGGTGCTTGGGGGGGGGCAGCAGTGGGAGGGCTTCTAGTGTCCTGGCCCCACCGGTGGACCTCCTGATGGCACCTGGTATTTTTGGCCACTGTGTGACAGAGTGTTGGACTAGATGGGCCATTGGCCTGATCCAACATTGGCTTCTCTTATGTTCTGATGAATTCTTCTTGGCAACATTCCCAAGGGCCTTGTGTTTATTTAAAAAAGGAAAGTGAAGAGAACATGTCTGTGCGTGCTCACTTAAAGCAGTCATCTGCGATATGAGAACTTAGGGTATTACGCATTCTTAAATATCTCTGTAGAAAAAGTGTGCACGTACAGAAAAGCTTATACCCAGAACTGATATTACTTGGTCTTGAAGGTGCCACATGACTCAAACTTTTTTGTTGCTTCAGTCCAGCACGGCTACCCACCAGTGTTCCCTCTAAGCTGAGTGAGTGTGAGCTAGCTCACAGTTTTTTAGCCTCCGGCTCACACATTTTTGTCTTCGCTCAGGAAGGACGGCTCCAGAGCAAGCTAATTTATGCAGCAGCAAAATCGCTCGCTCACGACTTTTAATGCCAGTAGCTCATAAAGTAGATTTTTTGCTCACAAGACTCCACAGCTTAGAGGGAGCATTAACATAACATAAGAACATAAGAGAAGCCAATGTTGGATCAGGCCAAAGGCCCATCCAGTCCAACACTCTGTGTCACACAGTGGCCAGAAATACCAGATGCCATCAGGAGGTCCACCAGTGGGGCCAGGACATTAGAAGCCCTCCCACTGTTAACCCCCCCAAGCACCAAGAAGACAGAGCATCACGTGCCCCAGAGTCCCTATCTGTACCTTGTGGCTAATAGCCACTGATGGACCTCTGTTCCATATGCTTATCTAATTCCCTTTTGAAGCTGTCCATGCTTGTAGCCGCCACCACTTCCTGTGGCAGTGGATTCCATGTGTTAATTTCCCATACAAGCATCCCTTGCCCCAGAGCCCCTATCTATACATTGTGGCTAATAGCCACTGATGGACTTCTGCTCCATATGCCTATCTAATTCCCTTTTGAAGCC